GGATCTTTAAAATAACAATGAATTGAGACAGTATAGATAAACTACACCACTCTTATTTTATTTGTTAATGAAATAAATAAATTAACTATTACAGGACTTGATGGGATGTACCCGTAAGCAATATAAACGCCAGAATCTTCACAAATTCAAGAAAATGACAGTAACATGTAAAATCTTTATTTGCCAAATACAATAAAATAATAATATAAAACACTGTTTAGTTTGCCCAAAGCTTCATTACAGCAATATCTGCCACTGCTAAATAAAGCATGTTCCATTGGTGTTATTGTTAAAGGACTACTCACCCCTAAATCAACTTTCTTTGCCATTAAACTGCATAGATAGATGTCTAATAGAGCTGATTTCTTATTCTGGAAATTTATTGCACATATATTAGAATTCTGCGTAAAACTGTATGTTTGGCGCCCTCTCAAGGTTAAAAAAGGATTACCGCATCTGATATTTTATTAGGACTGACTTTCTTAAAATTTAAAAATTAAAATAAATCATGATATTCTTTCTATTACAAAAAAATATGAAAATAGGAAATGCATAAAAAATAAAAAAAATTGAAAATATATTACAATTGGAGAAAAAATAGTCTCGTCTCTCTAGTCTAAAATAGTGATTTGATTTGCATTTCTTGTCAATGAGTCTACAGACAAGAATTTTATTAGATGTTGTTTATCAAGAGTGTTAGGTTTGGATAGTTATTGATGGTCATATGGCTGCATTATATGAACAAAACTTAAATTACAATATTATCTAAATTTCAGTCGATGCAATATAACTCTGATATCGATATGAACAACAGAAAAGCCTCACAAAGATTGCCACGAATGACCCCCACAGATGCCTGTGCAAACATTTGAAAAAAAAAATAGTCTATCAAACTCTATCAATAAAAAGATTTAGAAATAATTGTAAAAAATGATATAATTATATATATTTGGAGCTACAAGCTTAACAGATTAAATGAACATATAACCAGGTGATTATATTTCTCTTCAAATATGTCAGTTCAGGTTTCTTGCCTCTTTCATAGTTTCTCTGTTATTACCTGCTTTATTTTTTGACTGACTTTAATAGGTTTGAAGTCTGAGTTTAAAAATCCATATAATAGATTAGTAGAACAATCATAACTAGCTTTGAAAGTCCAAACCAAAGGTCACCAGTTAGTGCTGCAACATCTCACTTTTGATAAACCTTCATCGCCATTGACAGAAAAACTTTACAGGCTCCTTTTATTAATCATGCAGGTACGATTTCTCTCTCTTTCTCTCACTCATGTCACAGCTTCCCTTCCACTATAGTCTTAACATATATTGCTTTGTTTGTTAATGAAAGTTTGGTTTATTTTGCACTTTACATCTTTAGTAAAACGACACAGATTGCTGCCCCACGATTGAATGAAACAGTGAATTAGGACATTTACCAATGATCATCTTAGTTAAAATTAAATTTACAAATTCACACATCATATAATGTCAAAGGACGACTCCCTGTCAGGGGGGTAACAAGCTTGCGGTCTCCTCTTTTATTTAAAGGCCCATCCTGAAAGCATGCTTTAAATATCATGTGTGCCTGGAAGTAAGGTAGTGGAAGGACTTGTGCTGAAAAAGCTACCTTTGCTGGCTGCTGACTCTCCTCTGCTTTTTCTGTTGCCTCAGTTTCCACTGCAGGGTTGGCCTCTGGCCTCCTCCTGGCTTTTCTCGTCGGAGCAACATCAGTGGAGTTGTCTGGCGTAGATGGCGAGGAGCTGCCTGGTGTTTCAGCAGGAGACGGCTCTTGCATCCCGGGTGCTTCCTGCGTTCCCTCGGCAATGGCATGAGGTGCTTCACTATCTGACATCTTATCTTATATCTCAGCAGAGCATCTCTGCAGAATGAAACCAGTGATATGAAGGTTGAAGAATATTCTAATAACACAACTGCGACTATTAATGCTGTATAGACTTAAAGAACAGCATGCATATCTGAAGATATCTGTCAATAAAGAAAAGGGAACTTCTCAGACTGGTTTTGCTGATAACAAAATTGTTGCTTCTATAGCAACTTAAAAGCAAGCATGTATTTCTAAAATGTATCAATCGTAAATATGTCTTAAAAATGTTTTAATTGAGTTTTGTGAGTTAAAAGCTTTTTCAATGCACACACACATTGCCATCTACATCCAATAAATATTCTTAAGTTTTCAGCTAATTCAATCTTACAAACAGGGTTAATTCAATACCCCTTAGTTCCCATTAATTAGAGTAAATGTACAGGGGTCTTAACTGGAAACATCATTCAAAAGGGGAATATTAATGTAAATTTTATTGTAAAACGGTCAAGTTAGCTCTACTAAAACTTATATATTAATTAATTGTTCTAAAATCAAAGTTTAGAGTAATTGCCAACAAGCTTCTTTTCTTTTATGAAAAGCTTTAAGTCTCACCATCATCCTAATTCTTTGCTACATCCACAGATTTATCTCAGCCTGTCACTCCAAACATTCCCATTTTTGTCACCTAACAATGTTTTCAACCCTTAGGGACGTCTCCCAACACAATGTTTCGCAACATTTGGAACAAATGTTGTTAAGACTGGTAGTTTTTTCTTCATGACATGACTGTTTTTCAGCTTTTCAGTCTCATTGGTTGACAAATAGACATGTCTAAATCAAAATGGAGATTTTCTTTTTATATTATATTATATTTAATGACAAAACTGAAGTCTAGATGTTTAATTTTGCGAAAAACATGCAAGATTTTGGCTCAATCTCACTCTTCTCTGCTTTCTTTTGAATCAAAGACCTTTCTTAAGGCTACAGAGCATTCCTTTACCCAACTTAATCGTTACCCACTGGTTTGAATCTAATCAAGCAGCGTATAACTTCCATTGGAATGTCTGTATTAGGTCATTGCAGCCACAAACTCTTGTTTAAGTCATAACCTTTCCTAAAAAACAATGAGCTTCTGTATCGACCTGCTAATTCAACCTTGTAAAGGTTTTTTTCTGTTTTCCTATTTATAAGGGTTATTAGGCCCGATGCCCAGCAGCTTTTAGATGCATCTCCTTTCTTCACATTGGAATCAGATCATTAGCACAGAACTCTACACTGGAAACAAATAGAAATCTAGATAAGTCAATTTTTTGTTGAAATAAGTGCATTTGTTCTTGAATTGAGAATGTAAAAGAGATTTTTTGCGAATGGAACAAGACAATTTATATTTAAAATAAGAAAACACAATAGTTTTGTCTTATTTCTAGGGCATATTATCTAAATATCTTATTTCAAAAGTAAAAATACTCATTCCATTGGCAAAACATTTCATTTACATACTCAAATTAAGAGTAAATACACTTAATTTAAGAAATTTTTGCTCATTTTAAGATATTTTTTCCAGTTTAGAAGTTAACTGCGTGTTAAGGAGCTATTTTTTTCACATCTATTGGATCAGAAATATATCTAAAAGTTGAGAACAGGAGTTCTCCTAAATAAGCTCTGAGTATTAATGTCAGTGTTTCAAATCTCTTTTTGTTTTTTTTAATACAATCGAGGGTAAAGCTGGTCCTGCAATCTGTGAATTTGACTAAACATCAACGGTCTCATATCCAAACGGAACAAGAACAGTCATGAAACAAGAAGAAAACTGTAGTAATCTAATCAAACTGCTGAACTAAAGCGATTCTTCAGTGATCTCAGCTGTTTAAAGTCTTTATGCTAGCAGCTAATGTTTACCTCAAATCTGCACGTTATGTCCTTACCGGAAGTAATTAGAAGAGTTTGTCCCTTAAATTACTGTTTGGATTCCAAGATGAAGATCTGAAATTTATATATATTTTTGTCAGAGTGCAGCGAAGTAATTCGGGATTCTTGTTTTTGTTGTCCAGATAGATTAGCCACGTCACATTTTGTTTTCAAAGGTTAGGGTCTGACAACTACTGTGGGGGGCGGGACTTCCGTCTGAGGTTTTCAAAATAAAATATTTCCCGAAAAATCAAACTTAGACGTTCCTCACTATGTTGCATTACCTCATTAGACAATTTATCTCACTGTTGCTATATAATGCATTCACGTTTTTTATGTTTTGTTTAGTTTTTTTTTTTTTTTACCAAATTCTATTGGCGTTACCATTAATGTGCTTTATTTTGAAAGGAGAGGTTTATTAAACGGCAGTACATAATTTTAGATCACTTGATATCGAAAATAGAACTTAGAGAGTTTCAATAGTTTTTTGTTTTCCCCTTTAAGTGCAAATCTATTTATGTATTTTAGTTAAAAAAAATAGGCCAAGGATTTATTTTTAGGTACATTTTTAAATGTATATATTCACATAATAAAAAAATGTTTTATCGTGTTTCTTTATCGGCGTACTAACTGTGGTCAGCAGTAGAAAGGCCACGCCCACTTCAGCACCTGTACCCGGAAGTTGTTGGATCGTGCACTTTGTTTGACTTGAAGGCTGAGGAAGAGAAACTCCTGATAAATACACTTTTCTTTTGATCTAAAACAAATCTAATTCTTCTTAAGAGTCAGTATTTTGAGGCCAAGCAATAGGTGAGTTCACTTTAAGAGAGATGTTTGTCTGAAATATGTTGATTGTTTAACTGGTAGGAATCTGTGCTGATGTAATCTAATCTCTGAAGTGACTTTTCACAGTTTTATTTTTGTAAGTACCTACATCTATTAAGATGTAAAATGTATTTCTAAAATGTATCAACCCCAAATATATGTCTTGAAAATGTTTCCATTAAGTTTTGTGATTTAAAAACCCTTTTAAAACAAAGTTTATTGCCATCTACCATCCAATACAGGGTTAATTTAAAACCCCTTAGTTTCCATTAATTCCTTTAAATGTACAAGATGATTTTATGTTCAAGGAGAATATGTCATAATTATGTCAGATCTTAACTGGAAACATGACTCAAAAGTTATTTATAATGTAAATTCACCAGTAAATGTTGATGTAAAACAATCAAGTTAGCTCTACTAAAACTTAGATGTAAATAATTTCCATATTCATCAGGATATGAGGTGCTTAAGTCTTTGTATAAGGAGCACTAGGACCCAAAACGCCTTCATACCTCTAAGTTATACTATCTGAATTTAAAAAGGTGCATGTTTGTTTTCATTTATAATTAAACTTAGAAAAACAAGTGTTTGTTAAGATACTTAAAGATCTTAATATTAACATTTTATTCAAAACTGGGGAAACTGAGGGGAGGAAAAAATAGGTCAGGAGTGTACGCTGCTGTGTGACAGTCACTGACTCTTCCCGTTTTGCAGGATTTTCTGGTCTAGATGTGAACTGAACCTGAAACTCCACCCAAAATGTTATCACATCAGATGCACCGCCTATCACACGCCCTCATCGTGCTCCTGCTGCTTGTTTCCTGGACAGCAGATGGAGCTCACAACGACACAGAGGCAGTGACCTTCACACATCTGGCCCCGGTCCCCCCTGGCAAGTATATCTTGGCAAAGGAGGGATCCAGCACACTAATTGAGTGTAATGTGACTGCAGATCAAGAGGATGTTAGGTGGTACAACTCCAAAGGACTTCTCCTTGAAGACAAAGAAGGTAGGATGATTCCGTGAAACGGCTCATGATTAGGTTTATTATTTTAAATGCTAATGGACAAAACCTTTTGTGAAGACCAAGATAGTAATTTAGTCTTATAATATTTGAGCAGCTAATTAAAAGTCTTTAAATTCAAAAGGCCTAAAATGAACTGTAAACACAGCCTAAAATCAACCTGTGACAAACAAGTCAGCAAAGACAGCAAAGAGCAAGATGTTGCAGAAACCGTGTCAATGGCTTGAATACAGTGTCAGAACATTTTCAAAATTACAGCTCTTGTGGGTGTTCTTTTAGTAATTTGTCAAATACTTTTCAAGGAAAGAACAGTGCAGAACTAGGGACAGGTACATGGTGTTCAAAGAGACATTAATGATGAAACCTGGTACTTATGGCCTGATGTGAGAGATCTGAATCTTAAACTTAAACTACAGAAGAAGGGAAAGCTCATTCTGGGGAAAGACACTGGTATGTCACAATATGTTGTAATATAGGTGATATAGGCTGCAGACCTGTCAGAGTGGCATCAGTGTTCCTTGATGGTTCTGACCTTTCACAGGATAATGATCCTGCAAAACAGCAAAAACAAATTAGCAGTGGTTTTAGGAGCATTACAATGGTTTTTAAGGTGTTGAATTGGCCTCCAAATACCCCACATCTCTATCAAATTGAGCAATTTTCATTTTAGCCATGCAAAGGAAAGTTAGGTCCAGAGAGGTTACATCTAACAAAGTACAGAATTTATAAGGTCATCTACGTGTCAGATATATCACCACACCTTAAGTAGTCTAGTATATTGCGTCCGTCCATTTCTCCACCCATCCAGCCATCCATCTTCTTCCTCCTATCCGCCAGTCATGGTCTGGCTGGTGCCTATCTCCAACAGTCTGTGTGCAAAAGGAGGGGTGCTAATTAACTTAAAAGTATAGTGGAGGTTTTCGCAAATTTTTGATAAGACCCACCCTCTCCACTTTAAGAAAAAATGCACATGCACAACCATGAACTCACTCCCAACCCACTCCCGAGAGGGAACGCTTAGTAAACGCATGGGAGAGCATGTATGAGCCCGTTTCAGGCTCTGTTTAAAAGTTGCTGTTTGCATCGCTCATACAAGCTTACTTTCCAAAAGAAGATTTGCAATTTTCACACCATGTCAGACTCACCACCGGCAAGTGAAAATGGGGATGAGCACATAGGAGGGCCTTAAGTAAACATATCACCAGAATGATTGACGATTAGGAGGACCACTTATTTTGATAAGGAATAAGAACATCCTCCACTACATCTTTAATAGTCATGTTTTTGGCCTGTGGGAGGAAGCTGAAGTACCCAAAGAGAACCTAAGTATGCACAAGGAGAATGTACATGCAAACTTTATGCAGAAAGACCCAGGGTTGGGAATTGAACCCAGAACCTACTGGCAACAAGGTAACAGTGCTACAAACTGTGCCACCATGCAGTCCATAATCCCAGGCTGCATTGTGTGGAACAAACACACTATAATGAATCCCTTTATAATGCCTGTGTTAGAATGCATTATAGCTAAAGTATATAGTAGGATGATTTGGCCCATTGTTAGTGACTGATTAATGTTCATTTATTAATACTGCCTGCTGGAAATTTACCTTTACATTTGTTTTTTGGCTTTAGGTGGGAAGTGGCAGATCCAGGAGAAGGGTGTCTTAAACATCACAGCAGTGTCCTTTGAGGACCGTGGCCGCTACACCTGCGTGGCCTCAACCGGCATCGGACTCACCAAAAACTACACCGTAACTCTGCGTGTGGCCTACACTGACAGTGGCCTTGGAGTGTACTTCGTTGTGGTGTGCTTGGTGGCCTTCGCCATCACGATGGTCCTCAATGTGGCGCGCTTATGCATGGTCAGCACCCACCTCAAGGAGACTGAGATGGCCATTAATGAGTTCTTCCGCACCGAGGGGACAGAGAAGCTCCAGAGGGCATTTGACATTGCAAAATCCATCCCAATAGTAACCTCTGCGAAGACGGTGGAGTTTGCCAAAGTCACGCAGTTTAAAACCATGGAGTTTGCTCGTCACATTGAAGAGCTGGCACGCAGCATTCCTCTGCCGCCACTTATTCTGAACTGCAGATCATTTTCAGAGGAGAACATGAATGCAGACTGTAATCCTGCAGAACTGCAAGCAGCAGCTTCTAAAAACAGACAGGCTTTAGGCCCAACTGGCCATAACAAAAAAGAAGAGGAAGAGGTGTGTGTGGCAATGCTGTCTAGTGATAGACAAAGGAATTATGGGATCAATGACGACTTCAAGGTGTCACTGCATAGAATAAATGTTGACGTGGAGGATACAGATTACAGAAATGAGAGTAATGCATGAGATCATTAGGAATTCAATTCCAACCAAAGATATTTATCCTGCAAAATAAGTCGAGGTCTGGTTGCAGGTCGGACTTTCATCTGTCTAATCCTTAAAATGTAGTTTTACCTTATTCTTATTTCTGCACATGGTGACAGCTCAGGTTCTCAAACATCTGCTGAAACATACTTTCATTTTTTTGTTCTGCTTTTTTATTTCTTTTTCCCATAAAATTTTCATTCTTGTGTTTTCTCTTTATAAAGGTTTAGCTAATTTAACTCTTTCATATGTCTTTTGTTTTTTCTTGTCGTCATTATTCCATTTGACAGACTAGTGAGCCTCCAGGAAGAAAATGTTGCCTTGTAATGTCATTGTTCTAACATCTCTATTGTGGTCATATCACTCATGGGAATTGAGTTTTGTGAGGCTTGATTGCAATCTCACATGTCTGTTTACACAGGTCTTTTGTTTGTCTCAAAAGCAGTTAATTACAGGGCCTGAAATAAGTCATTCAGCTGAAGGGCTGAATATTTTGAATCTAAGGGGACCTTTTTTAAACGATTTTTGCAGGCTTGAATCTTATACAGTCTACACAATGCTTGCTGCAGATAATGTTTGATTTGGTTCTTAAATATAATCTATTGATTAATTATGTGTTATGCAAGGTTTTGTGGGCAAACTGTGTTGCATGAAAGGTGAAGTTGTTACTCCTATGGATGTTATTTTCAAGGAATGCATCACTTTCTTTTTTTGTTTATAAAAAATAGGCACAGGTTGTTAATATCTGTATGTTTATCCTTCCTGAAGATGAATTTTAAAGATGTCTAAAATATGTTTAAAGTAACAAAATACTGTCACTCCTACTTTGTTTCTCTGATGGTATGAAATAAACCAAATCAATTGGAACACCTGTGAAGTGGGTTGAACTGAAAGTGTTCAAGTAGAAGGTGGAGGTAGAAGATGAAAATGTTTTTCTGTCACGAAGGAAAATGAGTAAATGTTGATGCTGTAAAAGATTTTAGCTGAAATCAATCTAATTTTCAGGCTGAATGCTAAAGGTGAGAAAGACTTTATATGATTTTGCTTTAGCTATGGTTACCTCGAAAAAAAAATCCTTCAGTTGTTATTCTTTTTTATCAAAATGGCTTCCAATCATCTATGAAGATGACAACAGAAAGCTTTATGAACCATTTAAAACTTCAAGCTCAGAGTTTTAGCTGCAGCAAACAAGGTTTTAGGATGTCTAAGAATTTAATAAGCAAGCATCAATGCCCTATTTTAGAAAACAGGTTAAGTTAGTCTGAGTAGAGAACAGGTATCCTCAGTCAGGTGAATTGGCTTTATGATGTTTAATATTTTCAGTTTGAGAACAGGTGAAATTAACAATTAAATATTCAATGATTGAAGAGAAAATGATGGCTTAAGTGCTTCAAATGCGAGTCGTGGCACAGATGTTTTAATCGATCTCATGGAGATTTGATCTATATGGTAACAGTTTAACGCCAAACCTCTGAGATGTTGGCTTACTTTCCAACACCCCCAGGCTGAGGCCCAGGTTGTTGGTGTAGATGAGGACCTCACAGAGCTCGTCTGCACAGGTCTTCAGTAGCCTTGGGGGGGGATGCTGTCCAGTCCTGTGGCCCTCCTGAGTTTCAGCCTTATCAGCTGGCTTCTCACCTTTTTTGGTTTGTTTATTTTAATATGGTGTGCAGGAGTTCAAACAGACATACATTATGTTTTCCTATGCTGTAAACCTTTGAATAATAAATACATTTAAACAATATACCGTATGTAAATATATGTAAACATTCATTTCAACAAAAATGTGTGTCATAGCCATAGAGTTCAGTGGTCAATGTCTCAGCGCGGTGCCAGGCACAGAAAGCGGCAGGTGTGTCTCGGACCATGGATCCAAAAGTGGAAAAAAATAAGATACCTGATGAGAACAGAGGATTCACAGAAGAATGGACCAAATCATTTGGTTTCATTATCAATGCAGAAGGACTGCCTGCATTTTTGCTTTGGCACGAGAATTTGTCAAAATATAAAAAGAGCAATTTGGAAATGCATTTCCAGGGAAGGCTAAATATGCAGTCGATCACACCGTTGTGAGTGAGAGAAAGAATGCGATTGCAGAACTTCTGGATAAATTAAAGGAGAGCAAAGATAGATTTAGGAAATGGATTGCATCTCCAAACTCCATTACTGTTGCTAGTTTTGTTTCAAGCATGAAAAAACCGTCTACAGATCAAGCAGGTAGCGCTCTGATGCAGGGATGTGAATTTTTTTCTATTTTTTTTCCCTCCCAAATCCTCAGAATAAAAGTAACACCAAGGAATGCTGGTGACGGAGGATGCAGCATTTCAGGGTTAGAGAGCTCTGCTCTGATGGATGTCAGTTCCTGCTTGGTTCCTCATGACTCAATCAACTCCTTCCAACAGAAACACGTCCACCATAGAAAGATTCCTTTATCATGTTTCTATAATTTCATCAATGCAACAAAACTTAAACTGTAGCTCCTCCCTCACCTCATGCTGCTATCTGACGTTTGCTCCAGGATTAACATTTAACCATGAATGCTTTTTATATATTTAAGCCCACGTAATCTTTTTTTTGTAGTGGTCTAATACACTTAGAGCCTGTGTTGCCATACAAGGCTTATATAAGACTTTTACATTTTTGTGGCTCCAGACAGATTAGTTTATTTTTTGGTCCAATCTGGCTCTTTGAGCATTTGGGTTGCCGATCCCTGACCTATACTCTTCAAACTATTTCCTAAAACTATATCTAAAACCTGAACTGACAGCAAACACCCATGTCTGTCTAAACTCTCAGGGAATCTGGACAGCTTTCCAAAGTAAACACGTGATATGGCAGGTAGCAAGGCTTCGTACTTCATCCTTTTCAACATGAAGCAAGCCTCCACGTCTGCCTGGCTGTGTGTTTCCTGGACGGGTCCGCCTTTTACAGTTGCTTTTTGTATCTCTGCTTCTGTCTCCTTGAACCCCAGGCGGCCTCAGCAGATGGCCGCTCACACTGAGCCTGGTTCTGCTGGAGGTTTCTTCCTATTAAAAGGGAGTTTTTCCTTTCCACTGTCGCTGCAAGCATGCTTAGTGTGAGGGATTGCATCCGAGTCAATGAGTCGATGCAATCAACTGGTTTTCCTTAGATAGAAAACTTTGGATCAATTTGACTGTATGATCTGGTGAACTGTAAAGTGCCTTGAGATGACATGTGTTGTGAATTGGCGCTATAGATATAAACTGAATTGAACTATTCAACACACCCTCAAGGCCTCAGCTCTCAAAACATCTCTACAATGGGTTCAATTTTTTTTTTTTCTTTTATCCATTTTGGCATATAAAACTGGCTCCAGGCTTGTCTGCATCACTTTCTTTCCTAGAAATAGCCACCCATGGAGCTAGTTTACTGTTAACTTTTCAAATATAGAAAGTATTTAAGGATCAGTGCCTCTGTCTCCTTGAAGCCTCACTCGGCCTCTGCTCACACTGAGCCAGGTTCTGCCAGAGGTTCCTTCCTGTTTGTTCTCTCCACTGTCGCTTCATGCTCTCTGTGAGAGATCCTGTAAAGCCAATGACACACTACTTTTCCTTAGAAAGAGTTTAACTATGTTTCTCTGTATGATCAGACTGAATTGTTTCGGGAAGGGGCTTCGAGTAGATGGTTGTAAATTGGCACTATATAAATAGACTGTACTGAATTAAATCCAGTTAAAGCAGAGGGTAAATATGCAAATATTAGCCTAGTATTTCATTGTCTTCTTTGTTTTATAGCTATAGCTAAGTTTTGTGTCAGAATATACCTACTAAAACATAAGGATATCCTGTTAAAACTAAAGGTGACACATCAAATGCTGCAGATTAAAAAAAAAAACTACAGCCTCTGGAATGTTGATGGTGAGAAGACTAAGAAGGACCTAATTTTAATAAAGAGGTACGCTGAAAAACCCTGATGATATTGTCAGTAAATTACTTTCTTCTTGGCTTTTTTCTGGGAGCAGCATTGTGAGAAATTAATTACTTGCTTGTTGTTGTCAGTGGAAAGTGCTGTTTCTCTGACTCATTTTTATTTTGGACCACGTCAGCATCATCAGGACTTTATATTATTAAGGGACGTTTGTAATCGTTAGAATCAAAAATCAAATCATTAACAAAAAACAAAATGCTTTGTTTTGTTTTGACATTACTCTCATTTATTATTTATATATTTTCTTAAAGTTTTAGCTATTCAATCAAAGGTGAATGTTTTCAACCGAAAAAAATGACAAATATGAAAAGTAAATTCTAATACATTTTATGACATATGGTGAAGACAGATTGATGTTAATCATTGTGAGCTGCTCACTCAACCTTTGTGATCAATATATTAAAAACAAATGGCCACAATGGCCCGTTGGTTACAGCGAATCCAAGTTTATGATGTTTTAAAACAGTTAAAATGCAAATGAGCAAAAATAAGCCAAGATCACATCTGGGATAATACACAGCTGGGCATTCCATCACATTTTGCAAACTCACCGTTTTACTCATTCTTTAGGACAGTATTTTTTGAAATATAAAAACCCAAAACCATGAGTTTTCCTTTCATGTTTATGTCAGTCACATGGTTACAGTAAATGTATGTCAAAAAAACCAACAAAAAACTAAATCAAATGGTGGCCAGGTGTCTACCATGTCTACCTGGAGCACAGATCACTTCTGGATGAAGAACGAAGCACAAGAGGACCTCAAGGCAAATAATAATATAATTATACTGCAAACAACCAGATCGACATTTCTTATATCTTTTAGCTAGTTTTTCTTGAGATACATCATCAGACTTGAAGTAAAATAAAAAGAAATGATTAGGCCTGAATTATAAATTGCATAGTATCAGTGAGATTTAGCTGAATTCTGTGTTACCAACTTTGTATATGATCCCTGTTTTCTAATCTCGCCCAACGGTGTGTGTATCTCTAGGCCTGTCAATGCGATAGACAAACTCTGCGGGCAGGAAATACCCCAGGTACTCCACGCTGTCTGGCGTGGTGTCAATGTAGTAGTGACCGCCTTCTCCATGGTGACTGAAACCATGGGTGTGCTCAACACGCAGGTCCAAGCCCTGGAATCACAAGACATGAAATACTGCAAATCCTTGACCTTTAAACATGGATCCTATTGAGATGCATGCTTGTGTGCTTCACTTACAGGGTCTCTGGAAACAAGCACGGACTGGCAGATGAAGGGAGCGCTGACCTCAAAGTGCTTCAGCCAGTTGTTGACATCATCATTGGAGTTGAGAGGGCAGGTTGAGAACTCTCTTGGCTGTTGGACGATCCAAAGCACAGAATAAATGAGAGAGTATCTTTCAGTAGCTAAAAGTCACATGTCAAAGGAAAAGCCAGTAAGAAGTATCAGTCTATATCAAAGTTGTACGACTAGCATTTCTCAACAAACAGTCGACTGAATGAATGAATGAATGAATGAATGAATGAATGAATTGGAATATATTTCAGACAATTTGACAAACGACAATAAATTAATCAACCAAATACACACAAAAGAGACTTGTTAACATCAAACCAAATACCAATTTCCAAAGTAACTAAATTCCCTTCAACATAAATAGAAACAAAATCCTCCACCAAATAAATCTGTTGCTTATACAGCAAGAAAAATGACACTGATTAATGTAAACTGTCTGAAAAGGGGCATAAAGAAGTAAAATGTATTTTTCATACCCCCCCCATTAACTTTAATGAACTTAAAGTACAGTAACCTTCCTTTTAAACTTCAATGTTTTGTAATCCATTATTTACACAGACACACATACAAAAAAAA